CTGACAGCGGCAACTGACAGCGGCTACTGACAGCGGCAACTGACAGCGGCAACTGACAGCGGCAACTGACAGCGGCAACTGACGGAGGAGTCGCCACTGTGCACGGGGGGGGGGGGGTCACGAGCGACGTCGAGTGGGCGAGGGCGCGGTGCGTCGTCCCTCCTCCTGCGACGTCTAGGGTGTCGCGTACCGTGGTGCGCGTGTTGACGGGAGGGAGCATACGTGAGTGTGACGGGGGAGAGGGGGGTTGTGGGTTGAGTTGTTTTAAAAATGATATGCGTTAAGAATCAAATGTAAATGTATATATTTTATACGTAACTCCTGCCCGTGAGTAAAACCGGGTTCTCGCTCAAAATAAAATCGAGCGTAGCTCATGGTACCGGATCCGTAGGCATTCACGCAGAGTCCCATAGACTCGCATGGAGACCCATTTGATCACAGAGTCCCATAGATTCACGTGGAGATCGATGGACTTGCATGGAGATTCATAAACTTGCGTAGAGACCCATAGCCTCGCACAATTCCCTAGGGGTCGAGTCGATGGTCTCAGCGCGGCCACCGCTGTTGGGTGACACGATGGCCACGCAGACGGAGGTCCCGCGTAAGTAGATCTCGCGGAGCTGCCTCCGAGCGGCGAGAGAGGCGGGCGGTGCCCGCGGCAGCCGCGGGGACGGAGAGGGCCCTCTGGCCAACGCGCCAGCCGGTGCCGCTTGTGGTTGGGGTTCACTCACGACTGGCGCCGTGCCTCTCGCTGTTGCCGGGGGTTGCGCTGGCCATGGACTTCATTCTTCAACGGGACGGCGTTGCAGTTGAGAACGATTTCTGTTGTCGGCGGGGTTGTTGTTGTCGTTGTTGTCGTTGTTGTTGTTGTTCCGTACTATAAGTTTTTGTTTGGGTTAGATTGCATGAATATAGCCGTGACGTTCCACCGGTAGTCACAACGACCGCCACCACCACCACCAGCCTCATCAGGCAACAACAACCACCACCACCACCAGCCTCATCAGGCAACAACAACAACAACCACCACCAGCCTCATCAGGCAACAACAACAACAACCACCACCACCAGCCTCATCAGGCGACAACAACAACAACCACCACCACCACCAGCCTCATCAGGCGACAACAACAACAACCACCACCACCACCAGCCTCATCAGGCAACAACAACAACAACCACCACCACCACCAGCCTCATCAGGCAACAACAACAACCACAACAACCACCACCAGCCTCATCAGGCAACAACAACAACCACCACCACCACCAGCCTCATCAGGCAACAACCACCACCACCACCAGCCTCATCAGGTGACAACCACAACAACAACAACCACCACCACCAGCCTCATCAGGTGACAACAACAACCACCACCACCAGCCTCATCAGGCAACAACCACCACCACCAGCCTCATCAGGCAACAACAACAACCACCACCACCACCAGCCTCATGAGGCGACAACAACAACAACCACCACCACCACCAGCCTCATCAGGCAACAACAACAACAACAACCACCACCACCACCAGCCTCATGAGGCGACAACAACAACAACCACCACCACCACCAGCCTCATCAGGCAACAACAACAACAACCACCACCACCACCATCAGCCTCATGAGGCAACAACAACAACAACCACCACCACCATCAGCCTCATGAGGCAACAACAACAACAACCACCACCACCACCAGCCTCATCAGGTGACAACCACAACAACAACAACCACCACCACCAGCCTCATCAGGTGACAACCACAACAACAACCACCACCACCAGCCTCATCAGGCAACAACCACCACCACCAGCCTCATCAGGCAACAACAACAACCACCACCACCATCAGCCTCATGAGGCAACAACAACAACCACCACCACCATCAGCCTCATGAGGCAACAACAACAACAACCACCACCACCAGCCTCATCAGGCAACAACAACAACAACCACCACCACCATCAGCCTCATCAGGCAACAACAACCACCACCACCATCAGCCTCATGAGGCAACAACAACAACCACCACCACCATCAGCCTCATGAGGCAACAACAACCACCACCACCACCAGCCTCATCAGGCAACAACAACAACAACCACCACCACCAGCCTCATCAGGCAGCAACAACAACAACCACCACCAGCCTCATCAGGCAACAACAACCACCACCACCAGCCTCATCAGGCAGCAACAACAACAACCACCACCACCAGCCTCATCAGGCAACAACAACAACCACCACCACCACCAGCCTCATCAGGCAACAACAACAACCACCACCACCAGCCTCATCAGGCAACAACAACAACCACCACCACCAGCCTCATCAGGCAGCAACAACAACAACAACCACCACCACCAGCCTCATGAGGCGACAACAACAACAACAACCACCACCGCCAGCCTCATCAGGCAACAACAACAACCACCACCACCAGCCTCATCAGGCAACAACAACAACAACCACCACCATCAGCCTCATCAGGCAAC